CATGTGGTTTTTGTCCTTTTTGTTGATGTTTTGGATGATGTTGATGGATTTTCGAATGTTGTACCATCCTTGCATCCCTGGGATGAATCTCAGTTGGTCATGGTGTATGATCTTTTTGATATATTTTTGAATTCGGTTTGCTAATATTTTATTGAGTATTTTTGCATCTACATTCATCAGGGATATTGGTCTGTAAATTTCTTTTTTGGTGGGGTCTTTGCCTGGTTTTGGTATTAGGGTGATGTTGGCTTCATAGAATGAGTTTGGGAGTATTCCCTCCTCTTCTATTTTTTGGAAAACTTTAAGGAGAATGGGTATTATGTCTTCTCTGTATGTCTGATAAAATTCCGAGGTAAATCCATCTGGCCCGGGGGTTTTGTTCTTGGATAGTTTTTGATTACTGCTTCAATTTCTTTGCTCATAATTGGTTTGTTTAACTTTTGTGTTTCTTCCTTGGTCAGTCTTGGAAGGTTGTATTTTTCTAAAAAGTTGTCCATTTCTTCTAGGTTCTCAAATCTTTTTTTTTAATTGCCATTAAATTACCCCTATAATTATGTAATGGATTTTTTTAGTTAATTGTTCACATTGTTATGAATACCAGTGGGTTTAAACATTTTCCATATGTTTATAAACCATGCTGTTTTTTCCTTTGTAAATTGCTTCATCATACCTTCTATATATTTACCTCTTTGGATATTAATGTTTTTCTTTATATGCATCTAACAATTATTAGCTTACTGTCAAATTAGCAGCAAATTAACAGTAAACTAAGGTTTGAATGCAATTTTGATCTTTTTTATAGAAAAAAATAGCTTTTAATAGCTATATAGTCGAATTGTCTACTATTTCCCTTGATTTCTTCAAATGTTTTTAAGTTTAGAAAGTCCTTCCCAAGAAGTTATTAAATTAATATACATTTATATTTTTACTAATAGTTTTGTGATTTAATTACTTTAACTTCTTTCTGGAATTTATTTCATCATGTGAGGTACTTCATTTATTTGTTCCACAAATGTTTATTGAATGCTCAGTGATTTTGCAGCACTTTTCCTTTTTCAGATATTCAAGTGCATGCTTCTCAAATCAGTGTACTCTTGTTTTCAAGACAAACCATGAGAGAAATATGATGCATGATCTGTGATCACTATCCGTGCTGAAAAATTAGAGAATGGCAAACTGGTAAGTTATTTAAAAGATTATTTGCACTAAAATTAATATGGATATATGATACAGTAAAATAAAAACGATCACTCAAATTTTTAATGTAAACCTGAGCATTTTGCACTTACAGCAGACTACTTTGAACTACTGTACTTTCATCATCAAGAAGGAAAAGGACATATTCGTTCTTCCTACTCTATAAGGATGCTTCAGAACAAAGTCAGAACTTCTGACCTAAAAGCTGATACAACCACCACACAATCTGAGGAAAAATCCTGTCCTTCCCTGTTAATGTAGGGCTCCTCTTTTGTTTTATTCAAATTCTTTCTTACTCAAGTCCATTCCTCATTTTGTGACTGTCTTTGTATTAATTATTACTGTTGTTGGTGTTACTGGTTTCCACATTTAAAAACACCATCTGCTTGGTAAAAGGGGAGTCTAGTAACCACAATATTGCTCATGTAATTGTACATTAATAATAGCAAAATAAATAAATAAATAAATAAATAAACACCATCTGTTCAAAGGATAACCTGTGAGTTAAGAAAAATATTGCAATGTGGTTGTGGCTGCATCCACCCCACCATCTCCTGGACTTGCCATAAGAATGAGGAGGGAGATGTCTAGGCTGGCATGTGCATACAGTGAGACAACGAATTTGACCGGATCTGTACTGTTGGAACTCAACCAGGAGTTGGGAGGGGTGCAAGTTGTAGCACTCCAAAATCTCATGACTATAGACTATCTATGGTTAAAAGAACATATGGGATGTGAACAGATCCCAGAAATGGGCTGCTTTAATTTGTCTGATGGTTCAAGTACAGTTGGACAATATCCATCATATCATAGATAAATTTTCACAAATGCCTAGGGTGCCTAAATGGTTTTCTTGGCTTCACTGGAGATGGATGGTAATTATAGATTTGCTTTGTTTATGTCACCGTATTCCTATTATGTTAATATGTGTGTGCAAATTAGTTAGTAGTTTAAAACCTATACATACTTAAGGTACTATACAAGAAGATATGTCAAAGAAATAATCAATCCTCCCATGTTTCCTTCATATGCTACATCTATAGCTTTTCTTCTTCCTTCCTAATTACAACCCTTAAATAGAATTCGTGCCTCATATCGAATTTACCGAGTATCATAATTCCTCCAGGTGGTAAAGATACCTCGAGACAAGTGCTGGGCATAGAAGCCACAGGGCATAAATCTGCAAAGAAGTAAAAAGCTAACCTTTGCAAACAATATGGCTTCTCTCTCACTTACCAACTTTACATTTCCCTGTATGGCCCCGGAAGATGACTGGTTAGCCAGAGACGGGTAAGATTCCTCAAGGGAGGAACAACCTAAGACAGGCACAGTCGCAGGGGGGCCATCAGGTGAGAATTTGGGGATCAACAGAGGTGAGGCTCAGAACCTCACCCCCCCTGCTTTGAGAGAAATCTTCTGCATCCGTGGATGTCTTGCTGCCCTTGTCTAGCCTGGATTAATACTTAGTCCATAGGCACACACCTGATCATCTGATCATCTACATTTGCCTTCTTACAGCACTAAACTATGTTTTCTACCTTTATCTTGCATCTACCTACCACTTCAGCATTTTATTAAAAATAAAAATAATAATAATAATAGGAGAAATGTGGGATCAACATATAAATCAAGTACAAAAATCAAATGAATATTCATATTTGACCTGATGGTTTATAGGTCATATTGCATGATCAAAACCGAAAGTTTCTGTGATGAATGCCCTTGTACTGTTCACCATGTAAGAATTTATTCACTATGTAAGAATTTGTTCACCATGTAAGAACTTGTTCGTTATGCTTCAGAAGATTGGAGACTGACGAGAATTAGGCTTGAGATGTATTAATGATTGTGCATTGAGCATCGACCCCCCTATACAGAATTTTATTGTTGTTAACAACCATTTGATTAATAAATATGAGAGATGCCCTCTCAAAAAAAAAAAGAAAAAAGAAAAATATTGCCTCTCACCATGAGTAAAAGGAGATGATTATAGAAGAAATTAAATGGGGACATGAAATTATTAAAAATTAACTTTTATACAATTTGACAAATGTGAAATGCTCAGAGTAAGATATAATATTAGGTAGAAGTAGGTCAAATACCTACTTGTGATATTTGTCTGTGTGCTCCTAATTTTTAGCAAGATGTTAAAGAAGAAGGTATTCTAAATATTAGATCTGGATAATAAGTTTACATTGCAACTTTTACTTTATATATTTTTCCTATAACATGCAGTTAACATTGTTGTGCTCAGAAAAAGTTAATAAATGCTATTTTTAAGAGGTTAGTCTCTCTCCATCAGGAAGTATTCTCTGACACTGACATCAAGACGTCCTTGGTAGGGGAGAACTCTGAATGGTACGTTTAAGGTTAACCTTAAAGCCCAGATATCTAAGAAATATTTGGCAAAGAGAAAAGAGTGGGGCTTCATCCTGTCTCAGGTTTGGTTCCAGGCTGCAGGTGTCTGAGGACCACTGTGCTCTTACTGCACAGAAGTAGGTGGCTGAGTCCCCAGAATGGGTGGCTGTTATGTGCAGGGAGAGATGTTTATCCTTCTTATCCAATAGTACCGTGAGTCTTTCTTCTTTTTTCTGCTCCACATTTGAAAGAATATGCATAAGCAACTGGAGACCTTTTCTAGGTTCTTGCTTATACCAATAAAAGTAGGTGGAGGCACTGTCTGTGTAGGTGCAGTTGATTGCAAAGCTGTCTCCTTCCTGGACAGTCTGAAAAGAAGGATGCTGCTCCACCTCTTCTCCTCTACTCATACCTGTGCAAAAAGAGAAGTCAGACAAGATCAGCCTGTTTGCCCCTTTTTTTCTTTTTCTTTTCTTCTTCCTCTTTTTTTTTCCCCAGCAATTTCAGGCAATCTGGAAAAGACCAATCTCCTAGTCTCCTCCTCAAACTTCTAATGAACATTTACTAAAACATGCTGTTCCTAAAAGCTCTCTACTCACAGTGCAGCTGCAGCCACAAGACCAGGAACAAAGGTCTGGGAAGTGTCTTCATTGTTCCCAGTTAGGACATGCAGCCTCCAGCCAGGAGAGCTACATCTATTACCAGGGTATCGCTTCCTTTCTCCAAATCACAATGGTTTCTCAGGCACCTGCTTCTGTATTTTGCTTACTCTTAAGAGTCAACCGAAGAGAACCTTTCGTACACTGTATCCTGTATCATCAGACACTCTGCCATCTGGTGGTCAGATCCCCAACTGCTAAACCAGCTGGTCAAATCTCCTTCTATCCTGTATCTGGGAGACTTGGACACACAAAATAGCACTAGGTCAAATAAATTAAGTTCCCAATGCGTCTGCAATCAGAAATTATGTGAATTAGCAGAACACATATGTAGTTTAAATGCAGAGTTCAGAATTCCATCTTATCTTATCTGCAAAGTACTGTCATTTTAAATGAATATGAAGAAGTTAGCTGTTTTCCACATTTCTTCAAGAGGCTGTCTGCTTGAAATCAGGAAAATGCCATGACTGACTCTACTATTGAGAAGTAAATGAAGGAGTGAATCTGCTGCTGAGGAGTAACAACTGAGGAGTAAAACTTTTCCTCAAACTTCTCCAACTTTTTTAATTGGTCAGAAAATTAATCAGCCAAATCACCCATCTTAGGTCGGCTCTTAGAGAGAAAAACTCTTTCTAAACAACATTTACGCACAAAAATTGTAGTAAGAGGAAAATAAATTAAGTAAAATATGTCAGATGCATGCTACTCTGGGCTCTGCTACCCCAAGCCTGATCCTGCCCCTGATCTTCTTAGGAAACTGATAGTGCCATGGGTCAAAACATGAATGTTTCTTTAGCAAAGCTGACTAAACTATAGATTAAGGAATAAGAGGAGGGGGAAAGGCTTCCATGAGTTCATATTAGTCCAACCACAGGTAAGAGTTTGGCTTGTAGATTATGGTGAGAAATCCAACATGCACTCTGAAATCTTTTCTTCTGAAGAACAAATCATCTGAAATTATGGATATGTGGTTTACTGATTGTAAACTATTGACATAAAAGAGTAGAAAACTCTCAAGAAACATCAAGCTGACTGAGATAAGGTAAACAAATTACATCTCTACTAGGTATATTTTTATTTCCTAATATCAAAGTGAGTGGTTTGTTCCCAAATATGACTAATGAATAATAATCTGTAGTAGATTTCCCCTCCTCTTGCCTTGGCCACTGCCAATTAGATTCCAGACCCCAAAGCTTTTCCCCGATTTTACTGTCTACTGCTCCAATCATCGTGTCAGTATTCTCCTGTAATAAAGTCTTTCATTCCTTCATTTCTCTTTTCAAATTCTTTCTAATCTATTTTGATTTCTTGGATCTTTCTGATCCATTTCTTCAGTAATAAATCTAGGCAAGCCTAGAGACAATGCCAGTTAGTGTTACAGAACAAGTAGGAAACTGAGCAGGAGAAATGTACTATCAGTCCAGGAAAACCCAGTCTGCCTCACTGTAAGAAGTCAAAGTCTCTCCCTATGATGTGAACTAACAGGTCTCCTGGAAATATAGAAAGTTAATCTAATCCCTTATCCACATGGCACAGGAGCTAAATTCCTTGACTCTGGGCTTGGCAATGAATTTTGGATTTAACACCAAAGAAAGGCAACAAAAGCAAAAATAAACAAGCAAGACTGTATCAAACTAAAACGTTCTGCACAGCAAAGGAAACAATCAACAAAATGAAAAGGCAACCTACAGAATGGGAGAAAATATTTGCAAAGTACATATCTAATAGGGATTTAATACCCAAAATAAAAACTCATACAATCAATAGCAAAAAAATTAATAAATAACATGATTAAAAAATAAGCAAAGAAACCTTTACCATGGGAGAATACATTCATAAATGACTCATCTGGTAAGGGGTTAACATCCAAAGTATATAAAGAATGCATATACCTCAACACCCAAAAACCAAATAACCCAATTAAAAATTGGGCAGAGAACCTGAACAGACATTTCTCCAAAGAAGAAATACAAATGACCAATAGGTACATGAAAAGATGCTCCACATCACTAATCATCAGGGAAAATGCAAATCAAAACACAAGGAGATATCACCTCACACCAGTTAGAATGGCCACTATGCAAAAGACAAGAAATAACAAGTGTTGGCGAGCATGCAGAGAAATGGGAACCCTCCTACACTGTTGGTGGGAATGTAATTGGTGCAACAACCATGGAAAGCAGTTTGGAGGTTCCTCAAAAAACTAAAAATAGAAATATCATTCAAGCCAGTAGTTTCACTCCTAGGAATTTACACACACACAAAAAAAAAATCCCTGATTCCAAAAGATATATGCACCCCTATGTTTATAGGCACACTATTTGCAATAGCCAAGATATGGAAGCAGCCTAAGTGTCCACCAGTAGATGAATGGATAAAGAAGAAGTGGTACACATACACAATGGAATATTATTCAGCCATAAAAAAAGAAATTCTCCCATTTGCAACAACATAGATTGAGCTAGAGGGTATCACGCTCAGTGAAATAAGCCAGGCAGAGAAGACAAATATCATGATTTCACTTACTTGCGGAATATAAAAACAAAGCAAAACAGAAGGAACAAAACAGATTCATAGATACTGAGAAGTAACTAGTGGTTACCAGGAGGGAGGGGTTGGGACAGGTGGGGAGGGCATGGGTGAAGGTGAGGAGGATAAAGAGGCACAATAATTCACAATCACAATATAAGTTGGTCACAGGTATGGTAGTACAGCATGAAGAATATAGTCAATAATTCTGTAACATAGATAGTAACCACACTAGAAGGGGTATTAAATAATACAGGTAACTATTGAGCCACTGTCTTGTACATTTGAAACCAATATATCAATGAAACTTTAATAAAAAATTTGCTTATTTGAACATTCAGATGACCAAATATATATTTCCCAGATATATCTGGTCTTCATTCACAGTTCCTGAAAACACTGCAGAGTCTTAAAGGTGAAATAGGTGTCTTGCCCTGTTAATGAGAGACTTTCGGACTCCCACCCAAGGGCAGGGGCTAGAGGTTCAATCAGCCAGTGGCCAATAATTTAGTCAATCATGACTATTCAATGAAGTGCTCACAAACCCCCTGAGATGAGTTTATCACTCTATTGAATCCTGCTTCTCTGTTGAAGAAAACTTCCATGTTTGGGGAACCAGAAAGCTTCCACATGCCACCAAGCCAGGCCCCACACCCCAGGAGGATAGAAGCTTCTTTATTTGGGACTTTGCCCTGTGTATCTCTTCATCCAGCTGTTAACTTGTATCCTTCACAGTATGCTTTATTAAACTGGCAAATGTAAGTGTTTTCCTGAGTCCTATGAGGTGCTCTAACAAATTAATAAACCTCAGTGGGAGGTCAAGGGAACCTCCAATCCCGTAGCCGGTAGGTCAGAAGCACAGGGAACTATCTGGGGCTTGCAATGGAATCTGGATTTGGGGATGGAGGCCTGTCTTGCAGGATGGAGCCTTTAACCTGGGGAGTCTGGTGCTGTCTCTGATCAAATAACATCATATAAATCAATAGAGTTGCATTCTCAGACACCCCGCTGGTGTTCAAGAAGTGCTTGGTTTTGTATGTGTGAGAAGACCCCTCTCCTCCACACACCCACATTGGAATCAGGTCCAGGAACCCAATAGGAGTTATATGGTTATATTGCTGTATACTACTACTGCTGTGTGTAATATATTACTGTTGTTGTGTATATAGGAAGGAAAAACACCCTTACAAGGACCACTCAGGAATATTTCTTCCTTTCAACTGAAATCATGTATAGTCATAATTCCCACAGATAGACAATTTTTCTTGTCCTTATGATTTCAGATGTGATTTGCGGTTGTTCTGACATTTCCTCCTTCTCTAAATGTAAACATGTATCCCTGTATGGTCCATACTATTCATCCAGTTATGAAGACACATAAGAAAAGAAAAACTAAGAGACATCACAGAAAGATTGATTGGATGAGTACAGTAGTCTTCTGAGTCATTGCCCCTAACAGACTACGTAGAAAGTATCAGATTAATCCTTAGGCAAAGGAATCAAGTAGAGGGGCACAGGCTCAGTTTTTATTATGGAGCTGCTGGCAGGTTGAAACTGAGCATTATGACAATTAAAACACAAAATAATCATTTAGCTGTCACAAAAAGCAGAGAGAAAGAAAGAAAAAAAGAAGCCAGTCACTCCCCTAGAACATCTCACAAAATCATCAGTTCAAAAAGGTAAGGTCATTCTAGCAGAATATGTAATCAAGAACTGGAAGTTTTAGACCAATAAAAGCTCAAAAATAAAAAACAAGAAAGTAGGTTCTTCTAAGTAGGTAAGTGATTAAAAGAACATTAAAAAATGATAAAGTGATGAACATATATGGTTCTTTTCCAAAGAGGTAAAAATAAAGGTGATTACAAACTGTAGAGGGAAAAATGTACAAGAAAAGGGTAATATAAATGTGAAGTTATTTCTAGTAACTTAGAGAATTTAGGAAAAGAAAAACCAACTGATGATGCTATGAACATTTTTCTTTGGCTATGACTGGCTTTTTAGAGAAGGAAATGTTCACTCCATGTTGCCTTGTGTGGAATTAACAAAATAAAAATTATTTCTTGATTTCTTAACTTCATAAACCATCTAGATAAAAGATGAATTAAAACATTGATAAATTAAAGACCATAAAGGTACCAAAGTAGTGGTCAGTATGTGGCAACAGAAAAGGAAAAGAACAGGAAGGGCTGAGTAGGAGCATCAGCAGTTCCGTCTTACATGGAAGAGAACGAACATACCAATGTGATAGACTGGCAGAGAGAGGCATATGCTTCTTATATTAAAAAATGAAGTAAATGGTAATATATCTATCAAATATATAATGAAAATGGGCTTCAGTGTCTGCGTTCATTGTGGAAAATGAATGGATAGTGATGAAATTTAATTAAACAATGAGATTTCCTGTTTTTCATCATTCTATCTAAGACTAAGGACAATCTGGACACGTTTCTATTAAATCTAAATTGAGAAGTGGGACACATCCAACAGCTCTTAGTAAGTGATAAATCTGTCCTGAAACCCTAAGCCCTTCATCAGCCTCCAGCAGAGAAGTTAAGAGATATAGA